TATATATACTAATTCTTCATGTTTTATACTTCCTTTCAAATACACAGATGAGTTGTATACAAGTCAATGACGAGTCTCGCGCTGTTCAGGCAGATTTTGACTTTAAAAACATTTTTTTCAGCCTAGGGACTGCATTGTACGTTGGAAAAAGCGGCGGTTCATATGTCACCATGTATTGTGATTCCAATCCACAAGGTAAATAGTTGGTGTGCTTTGTTTTATTATGCTCAGAGATACATTTATAAAGATTAGCAGCTTGTCAATTTAGATGAACCATAAGAAAACGAAAGTAACCCGACTACATATCCACTTAGTTTTTGACATCTCAGACACACCAGCGCATTTATGTTGATTTCTAGTCAAATATAATGAAAAGTAGAAGGTATCCTGCGACGTTTGAACCTATGCACAAGTATTCATTGTCAAATGTCACAGTGTACTAACCTTCCATCTGCAATGAATGTGCATATTTTTTCTTATCTGTGATATCTGTCTTTATTTTGTAAATGATTTTAGTACCACAAATCTTTCTCACACGCACAAAAACACACAACGCGGATTTCAAATTTGGCGGCAAATATCTGTCTCGATATTGTGTTTTTGATTTTTTATTATTTTTTTTTGTTTTTTTTATTCTCGCCTGCGACCCAATTACAAAAATTAGGCTATATTTTTATTCTTCAAACATTTCACAACATCAATGGCGCAGCGGCTAAGATGTGAGACTATCTAAGATAGTGCTTGTATGGGTACAGGTTCTATTGTCTCTGCAGTGGGTTTTTTTAACAAACATATACCTATTTATTCACACATATATACATATATAACGTATTTATTGACATATATATACAAATATAAATATACATATATAAATATACATATACATATACATTTATATACATATATATATATATATATATATATGAGCGTCAGACTTAAGACGAATCGCAGGCGACAATTGCAGTCGTAGTGGTCGCAAGACCCGGCCGCAGTCGTAGTGGTCGCAAGACTCGGTCGCAGTCGTAGTGGTCGCAAGACTCGGTCGCAGTCGTAGTGGTCGCAGTCTTAACAAATCTCTTTATTATTGAATAAACACTGCTCAAATTATAACTACTAATCTTACGCGCGTGTAGGTATGAAAGTAAAACCTAATGCTGAAGATAACTGCAAGGTTTGGTTCTCAATTAAACGATTGCCAAATTGATTTAGTCGGACTTTGCCAACCTGACTCTATTACTATTATATTTGCAGAGTACAGCATGAAGATACTCAAAACCGGCGAAACTTTGAAAGTCTTAGACAAGTATACTGTCCCACAATCTAGGGCAGTCAAGCATCTTGATTCTGATTTACAAGCGCACGCAGGGTTGATACTGAAACCATCACAACTGAAAGGGCATATGAGAACAGTATCAAACCGTACGTTGTTGGATCACATAAAACAGTTGCAGCTAATAGACTCTGTATGAGATATTCTTATGAAGGCCCCAGACACTACATTCATAGTGTATAAAACTATATGTTCCTACGTAAAAACCGATATTCCCATGTACGACGGAATCTACTTAGCACTTGGTGACATGAAGCGAGTTTATAAGTATCTACCAAGATGAGGTACGTTTGATGCTGCACATATGAATACTGTTTCCGGTGGTGTACTTCAGTTTCTCACCACATACAATGCTAATGGTCATCTGGAGTCGTTAGTTATTTCGACAGCGAGCAAAGAGAATGGACCCTACTGGAACAGATTCAAAGAGCTCTCTGACAGTTGTTTTCCAAATATGTCTGCGTACCTCGTAGATAAAGAAAAGGTAAGTATTTCCGTTTTGAATTTATAGTTACGATACCATGTTTCATGTGGGACAAATCTTTATCTGATATTTTTCAATGCAAAGCAAGTGTTTATTAATTAAGTATATTCGTGATTTAATAGGCATTCATCAGAGCATCGCAAATTCAGTGCACCAAGTTCAAGCTAGAACTTGTATACTGCATATCATCAAAAACGTGACGAACAAAGAGCTACTTGATAGAAACGATAAACCAACTCATCAATCGATAATTGCTATGACTAAAGCAGCTACCGAACAGGGATACATCTACCACGCACAGGTAAGCATTTATTTGTATACAGGCAAGACTCGGAATGGGCTTTTTCTTGCACTTCGTGCACAAATTGTAGGTTGGTTTAATATTTGCCTACTTGTCAATCTAAAAGTATACGAGACAATCACGAGCTTGGAGACAAGATTGTGGATTACTTGGAGAGCCGAAAGGATGAATTCGCCAATTATCTATTCGTGGAGGCTCGTCGAGAACACAATGCAGTCTTCACTGATCCAGAAACGTATGTAATTAGTATCGTAG